ATTCACAATCGGGCCTTAGATAGTAGTCATTTTCTTTCATCGAATGAGTAATTATTATTTTAATTATTAATTAAAGTGTTTAATTAGTTAACTAAAAACAATAGGATTAAACTTGTAATTAAATTTACAAGGTCTCTAGCATGTCCCGAAGTTTAATCCAACTAAGGGTAAATTAAAATATGACTTCATTTATATGAGATATAAATGACAAGCCATTGAGCTTAAGTCAATTAATGAATTAATCAAAATAATCTTAGTAGAAGATTAACATAACCTTAGTGGAAGATTATGTGTTTTGATTAATGCATGCATGCAAACTCCTCCACTCAAGATATGTTAGTGGAAAGTTTAGAGAATTTATGCATGCATTATTTACACGTGTGATCAAAAAGTGTCTTAATTGTTTCATACATGAATGACGTATGTCATGAAGGATGCATGCATGATTGACAAATGTCTTTATGAAAGACATTTGTTATCTCTCATGCATGCAAGTCTCTCCACCCAACATAAGTTAGTGGAGAGTGTAGAGAATTAAAAACATGCATGATTGACATTTGTCATGAAGGTTGCATGCATGACTTACAAATGTCTTTATGAAAGACATTTGTTATCTCTCATGTATGCAAGTCTCTCCACCTAACATAAGTTAGTGGAGAGTGTAGAGAATGACAAAGAAGAAGAAAACGATGAGAGAATGGAGATAGTCTTGTATGGTTACTCATCTTAAACACTAAAAGGTGTTAGACACTTGACTTAAGTAAAAATAAAGATTAACTCTTAAACTACTTCAAGCTAGATTACTTGGTGAGCTAAAGATTAATTCTGTAGATTTGAGAAACAAAATCATACTAGCAAACCAAGTCATAGACCGAAGGCTCAATCATGTAAAGCTCGTGTGGACGGACTAGAGGCTTAACAATTGGAGAGCTATAGGCTGAGAACAATCTTTGTGCTGCACTTCAAGAGGTATGAATTTAATTTGATGTTTTTATACCTTGCATGTGTGATCTAAATATCCTTTAGCTGATTCTTGAGTTGTGGGCTATGAGACATTTACTTGTGATGTGATGAGATCACACAAATTATCTTGTTTTTGTAATTTTTGAAATTTCACACACTTCCATTGCGCCCCCTTCCCATTCCTTTCACCTAGTACTTTGGAAGACAAGAAATGGTAATTCATTTATTTAGTACATGCATTGATAAATTATGAATTCTCCAATTATAATCTCTGATTTTTATTTTATTTATTTGCATCTTGTTCTTCTTGATTTTAATACCGTATTGTATGGTTAATTTCTAGGAAACAATCTAGTTAAAAAAATCTATCAAATTTTGAGAATGTGACTTTGAGCTGATCAAAGAACAGCAAATTTTCACTATCACTACAAGTTTCAATGTTTTCGAGTTGAAAATTTGTTAAAAAAAAAATGTTTTTGAAAATTAAATAATTTTATGTTGTGTGTATAATGCCAAAACATGTGGGTTCTTCCCTGTTGTACAAATAAAGCATTCCCAGTTAGGCAGGATTGCAGGTTTCTTTTATTGTACAGTAGCATTTTAATATAAGTATAATATAACACGAAACATTAAAATAAAATAATTTTATGTGTTATGTTTGATCTGCAATAAGTAAAAAAATTAGATAAGTAAAAAAATTAGTTAAGTGCTAAAACAAAATATGTCATCCTCAAAGTTGCGGGTTTTTATAGACCGCCTTCTCGCCACTAGCCAGTACTTCAGGAAAAGGAGATATTTTGTCTGGTGACATTGTGTTGATGACCATCCAGTTTTGACATGACAATGGTGGGAATGGATTCTTCCTCCAGTTTTAAAAAGTTATTGGCTATATTGTTTTGGGAGGCTTTCGAGGCTTAAACCAGAGAGAGACCCGTTGTTCCATCACCTTGCTTCAGGACAAAATCAGTGATGATATCCGATGAGTACTCATTGGTTGAGCTTATATGGTTATTTCACGTTTGCTTGATTCTGGACCACCACCTCCCTTGATTCTGGAATTCCCCATAAGAGTGTGGTAATTTGTAACCCAAAAAATATAAGGCTAAGCCACGATCTCCAGAATTCTCCTTAGAAAGATCAATTCATTCCCGTCCAGTAATTGAGTAAATTATGTGTAAAAGCAAGGCATAAAAGAGAATCGAGTGGCGTGAGTGATTTTCATTTTTCTTTTTTTCTTTTTTATGAAAATCGAGATTAAATTGAAAGAAATGGATTTTGCATATATCGAGATTTCGTATAATTTAAATTTTTTTAATTGAGACATTAAGTTTTTTTCTGTCTAATTTAAGAATTATTTTTTTATTTAATTTAAGAGTTATACTCTTATATTGTTATCGTTTCAAACCATAATATGTCACATAAGCACACATGCTATAATCAATGACGATTTACCACTTCTCATGATGAATTCAAATTGAATGACTGAATTGGTGACGTAATGATCTGTCATTCACTAGAATATGAAACAACAACAACAAATGAGTAAAATTCTTAAATTTGATAGAAAAAAAATTTTAAATCTCAATAAAAAAAATATAAATTATATGAGATTTCGACATGCATAAAACCTTAAAAGAAATATTCTCATCTAGCAACTAACAAAACAATAAAATTATTACAACCAAGCTATGAAGTGATTCCATCTATATATAAAGATTATTCCTGGCAAAAAAAAAAAAATCAACCATTAGATTCCTTTGTCAAATATATATATGTATATATATAGAATCCAAATACCTAATCAAATCTAGCTAGAAAGACTATGAAGTCATCCAGGTCTAATAAAATTCTCTTTATTCATCTAAATAAATATTGTATTAATTAGGTAAATTACATTCAACAATCCAGTTGACTTTATAAGTATGGATAGAAACAATACTGATTTTTAAACCTTTCTTAACAGTGAATTTCAATCTTATTTTTGGTATTAAAAAGAGATTGGTAATCACTTTTGCTTTCGAATCCAATGATCGGTATCAAAGCTTTTGTCTAGATTAACTCAACGATAAAATAAATGTTTAATATCAATTGTTGTTTGTATATATCAACATTTTTTTATGATATATATTATCTTTTATTTATTTAGTTTTAGCAAATTCTTTATCTTTTTATCTAATCAAAGAAATTGAATGATATTCTCATTGATTTTAATGCATGTGTTTGATGCCATAGAATACACAAATTGATTCATGGTTGTCCGCGGTCCAAGTATCCTTTTCACTATTTGACAGTGTAGTTTCATGACTGAATTGCATGCAATTCTTACCGTCCAAGTTTTTCTTGGCACGACTCTTTTATCTTCTAAGATATGTGGCTGTGAATGAGAAAAATCTGAGCTTTTTCTTTCAAATCTGAAGGAGCAATACTCGTCCATTTTAAAAGTTACAGCATCGTATTCATCTGCAATTTTTTCTCCAATAGAGCATAAAACAAAAGGAGAAAATAAGTGTAAAGAGCTTAATTCGCTTGTAGATATCTACTGCTTATGGAATGTTTAAATTTTTTTTTTTTAAATTCATACATCGAAAGCTCGTAGCAGAATTATTCTATTAGAATTCAAATCAGTAACCTCTTATTGTAAAAGATCATTACTACTGAACTATAAACTCTTTCATCGTGGGATGTTTAAATTACTGTGAAATAAAATTTGTGAAGCATCTTCAACTTTTTGTCCTCCGGAATAAAAACTCTCTCTCTCTATTTTTTTAATTTGCATCTCAATCTTTTTTGTTTGTCAATGATTAAGTTTTCTTTTTTTGTTGATCAATTTCAAAATATATTAAACGCACATAAAAGACACATAAAATCATAAAACATTAATATGTATTCAGGTCATAGAATTTTCAGAATATGTATAATTTATTTTAATAACTTTATGTATCCCTCTTATCAACTAAAATTGATCAATACGATAATTAATTCCGAATAAAAAAATTAACCAATAATTACTAATTAACCTTAAAAAAAAAAAGGTTTCAAGATAGGGATGCTCCCTCAATCATGAGCATAATAGATAAAAGGTAGGTCAAAAGTCACCCACTAATCTCTTCCTAGAGACCACAAAATCATACATCATGCTTTCCGGCCTAACCCCTAACCCCTCCACATGAATGGGGTCCCATTGCCATTTGATACAGGTTTTTTGAATATACAGCATAAACTGAGATGGGTTCCATTAACAAATAAAAGCAATAATGCAAAAGTCATCAAAGCCCATAATAAAGACTGAGAGACAACAAAATCGTACTTCACACCCGGCTAGGGAGGCCCAAATGTTATCTATGCTTGTCTTTAAACACCTCAAAATCATGGATAATTAAAATATAAGTACGTAAAATTTTAATATTTTTAATTAAATATATAAATTTATTTTTTCATAACAACCAATTTTCATCTATCTATTATTTTTTTTAGATTATAATTCCAATCTTTCATTCTTGATATTTTTTTCATTTGAGTATATTTATTTTTTAAAAAATACTTAATGACATCAATGTGATAGACATCATTTTCAGATACCGATAAAAAAACAATTAATAAAAATAAGACAAAAATATTTAATTAGTACTTTTAAAAAAATTAATATACTCAATCGAAAAAAATTTAAAAAAATAAATAAGACACACTTGATCTAAAAAAAAATAAAAATTAATACAGTCATGCAATTATCCTCCAAAATCATGAACTTTCATCTCAAGCATTCATTACGTAGAAATTCAAAAACCTTACAATCCATGACAGCAAGTGTTATAATGTCGCCCTTTCATCTTACAAGCTACAACTTCCAATATTCACATAACATTAGCATTCTTTGGGTTACAACTTCAACACACAACTCTGCTCTAAGAGAAAGCAGAGCGTCTCACACAAGAGGAATAAAATCTTGCAAGGAAGAATACTCTTTTTAAATATACATTTTGGTACCAAAATTCATACTTTTTTTTTTTAATCCTTGCCTAAGAAATAGCAGCATTCCGTTAGATCTCCACGCAGCAGCCGGATTGGACAAACCCGGAGAACTCTTCAGGCACATTGATCTTCTCCAATTTGCCATTTTGACCACCATCTTTCCTTTCCTCAGTCAAATAGAACCCTTGGGGTGCACCCGGGTTATCCGACCCGGCAACCATGATCCGGGAACCCAACATGATCCCGCGTACCGCGATCCGAACCGCCGGGTCCAAGTCAGCCCAGCTCATTAATTTCCCATCTTTCCCTACCCCAACAGAGCATCTCGGACACCGGCCCGAAATCCACGCCTCCTTGACCCGCTTCCATTGGCTCGACCCGAATTCGTAAACCTCGGCACTTCCTTCGAAGTCCCCTTGGTTATCAGTCCCGTAGCCACTGACCACCCAGAACTCATCCCCAATCACCACCCCCTCACACTCATCTCGCTCTTGACTCATCTGAGGCAACTCAGTCCACTCGTCCTTGCTCAAATCATAAACCCACCCGGTTTTCAATGCGTTCTTATTCTCATCATGCCCACCCACAGCGTATACCCGACCAGAATATGCCCCAATGGCAAAAAAAGACCTCTTTGAAGGCATCTCCTTCCCTTCTCTCCACTTCCTTGTTGTAAAATCATACACAAAAACATGGCTAACCTGTTCGTAACTCACCGGGTCCCACCCGCCCATGACCACGAGCTTCCCTTCACAGCTTGCCAATTGACAAAACAGAGGCAACCCGTTTGGGTACCTGGGTACCGGATCAAGCCTCTCCCATGTCTTATTCACTGAGTCAAACACAGTGATCCCAAAACTCGGCGAGTTACCTCGTTTTGATCCTTGTAAAACATCAGCCCCATGAACAGCTTGAACAAGACAAGCAACCTTCTGGGTGTACCCAAGTTTCTTTCTATGGTAATAAAATTCCTTGCTTTCGAGCAATTCACGCCACTGCTTGCAAACTTGGGATGCAACTCGGTGAGCTGTGTAAGCCAACCGAGTCATGCACTCAAGCCCAAGCTCTTGAGGCAAACTCGGGATCAACTCAGTGAACAAGGTACTTGCCATTTATATAAAGTTCTCTCAAACTCTACAACTTTCTGCTTGTAGTTTGCAGTGTCTGTCTTTCGCACCAATTCAAACGTAAGTATTTATAGACAGACGATCGTTAGATAACAGAAACAGCCACCAGGCATCAGATCGTGACACGTGGTAATAAATAATGTTTTTTAAGACAAAAATATTTCATCTGAATTTTTTTTCAATTACGGTAATAGAGTTGAGAAGGTAGATTTTGCGACATTGTTTAACGAGAAATTTTATGATACATACGAGGTAATTAGTAACATGTACATTAGTTATTTTTTGGGTTTATTTTAAGAAGAGAGATAGACACATAAAAAGAAAGAAAAAAATAAAAAATAAAAAAATTTAAGTTGAAGTGGAAATTTTCTTTATTACTTTTTGGTGGATATGGATGTAATTTCTCTTTTTTTATGTGTCTATCTCTCTCCTCAAAGTGGGTACGAAGAGTAATTACTGTACGTATCACTGAGTTACTCTTTGTGTATTATAAAATTTTTCCTTATTTAAGCATGTAAACGGATTCGAATCGAATTATGATGGATCCGAATTTAATAATGAATCGAATCGAATGTTATAAATATAAATTGAATTTTAAAAATATAAATTTAGATTCGAATTTGAAACTCTATCATATTTATTATCTTATTTTTTATAAAAAAAAATATGTTTACTATATTTAATTTATTACTTAACTATAAAATTTCAATCGTTATATATAAAATAAAATATATCAAGACAATATTTCATATATCAATTTTATAAAAATTTTAAAATGTCATACAATTCAAAAATATGAAATTAAATAATTCTAATAAAAGTTTGATTTCATCTAGAAAATACAATAAAAATAAAAAAAATAACTAATAAATAATATTTATTTTTTGTGTAAATAGTAGCAAAATCAATATTTATTAATTATAATTTCAAGATCATAGTGCTACGAATAAAGATTTTCCAAAAAATAAAAAAAATAAAATCTATTAATATTGTAATATATTTTAACAAGTTACATCACAAAAATTTATCAGTTATATTTTATTTTTTTAATTGCAATTAAAATTGATTATATATTTGAATTAATGTATTTATAAGATGGTAAGGGAAAAAAAAAGCTAGTTAAAGTTACATTGTAAATATTTCTTGAACTTGAATAGAAAAATAAATACCTCATGGAGTGTTGATTTTATCCTTTAAACAATATCATTTGTTGAATTTGATTTGTCCGTTTGGGTTTTGTTAAAATATTGACCAAAATTCTATGAAAATCCTCTCAATTTTTATTCTTTTTTCTATCAAGTTAGAAAAATATGTGTCCTAATAGAGAAAAAAGAGAAATTAAGAAGATTTTTTTAAAAGATTTTTTCATCAAATTTTTAATGAAAGTTTAATAGAAAAAACACATTTAAGAAATTATATTGTATAAGAACAAAATTAAGAAATTTTCATTAAAATAATTTTTTTTTCACTCAAGTTAATATAATATTTTTCAATTTAGCCGTAAATTTAAAAGCAGAAAATGGTAATGCAAGATGTAAATCAGGAGACAGGACGGTGTGGGTTTTTATTGTATTGTATTATTACTAATTGCTAAAGCGTATGGATAAGGAGGAGATGACTGCTTCCGTGCTACAATTAGGTTGTGACATGAATGAGAAACAGTTGCATGCATACACGTGGACGTCTAGATATGAATTTGATTAATCATGTTTGATGACTAGTCGACACGCGTTAGGCAAGTGGAGGGTTAATTTTTGGAGTTTTCCTTGAGAGGATGAGTATGAAAATTGTGTAACTTTTGATGGGGTCATGTGTTATCCGTCCAAGGTGTATTATTAATCAACATAGTTGACTTAAAAAGAATAAAATAAACATTTTTTTTAATTTTTTTCTTCTCTAATAATTTTTTATTTTTTTAAGTTAAAATTGTCATTATCTATCGCTATCCTTCCTTTAATTATTGATATATATACTTGGTATTATCTTCTCGAAATAAATGTGAAATTTATATCCCTTCTAGAAACTAGTAGATTTAGTATATAAGTTACTTACTTATTCAGGCTTTGCATCTTTTTAGTATATAATTTTCATTAAGAGATTATAAAAAATTAAAACAAAATGGTATTTTACCATAGCTAATTTTTTGCTGGTTTAAGTAATACAATCTAAAGTGTTTCCAAAAAAAATAATAATAATTATGACACCGTTAAAAAAATATTTATAATATTGTGGCTACTAATTTAGTTGATAATTTTATTTTTTTAAAAAAAAATTTCCCTTTATTCTTTCTTGTTTTTTATTTTTGGTGGGATGAAATTAATGGAATTGATCATTAAAGAATTTAGCTAAGATTAATGAAAAGAAAAGGATTTCTAGAACTTTTCAACTTTTGTTTTGCTTAGTGTTCACTCTTTTCTTCTAGAACATGTTATTGATTTCAGACTACTGTCAATCATGCTAGAAAAGTAGAGTAAATTATAAATTAGTCCCTCTTGTTTAGAGAAAAGAATTAATCAATCTCTTTCTTTTCAAAAACTAATTATTTACTCTATTACATTTCAATTCATTCAATAACTTAAATTTTTCATTAATTTTATAATAAATTAGCTATTTTAATTTTTAAATTTTTGATCGAGGAGATAGAAAGAGAGTGGATAAATGACAGAAATAAGATATAAAAAATACAGTTTGAGGGAAAAAAAACTAATCTAACAGAAAATTAATATAATACCTAAATTATTGATAAAATTAAAATACAGAAAACTAAATTATTAGTTTTTAAAATGAAAAAGATTAATTATTTCATTTCTCAAAATAATAGGGCCTAATTTATAATTTACTCTAGAAAATTGGGACACAAACAGATGTTTGATTACTCTTTTGTTGAAATTCGGCAAAACATCCCATCTCATCCAGTCATGACCCTCTTCCTTTCTAGTTTCTTTTCCTTTTTCATTCTCCATTTCTTGTCCTTTTACGTGCTTTCTTATCCATTTCTGTTCTTTATCCGACTAAGAACCTTTTTTTTTTTTTGGACAACTCATGGATGTCTCTTCTTCTAAGGTCGATGCGTGGACAATTCAGATAATTTGTATATATTCATACGTGTGTTTTGATAAATATAAGATGAAACACATACATCATAGTGCGGAATTGTTTTAAGGATAAGTAATCTTAACTTTTCGTCAACTTGTTTGGCAAACAAGTTGATTAGAGCAACGATGGAGCCCAAACCTTTCTTATCATGTATTTTAGGAGTAAAACAATAGATAACTCTAAATATTAAGAGTTGTTTGGCTACCGTTCTGTTTATTATTTTATGTTGTGTTATACTATACGATTAAATATTTTAAACAGTTTAGTAATCAACTATTTTACTGTGTTGAAAATAAAATTATTTAGTTTTTATTTAATCAACAATAGATAACTTATGTTAAATATTTTATTTAGGAAATTGAATTGTTGAAGAAAATGATTTCTTTCTTTTTATTTAATCGGTCGGCTTAGAGGAGGAGAAAGCCCAAACTTTCAGTATTTCATTAAATGTTATTTGAGGAAAATTATGGAGTGCAACTTTTCCTATTTCACTAAAATGACAAGTGAACAATATATAAAAATTAATAGAAAAATAAATGAAAAACTTGGTTATTTTTATAAAAATGAAATTAAGTTAATTAAATAAAAATAGATCAGAAATTCATCTCATCAAATAAAGATAGACCCAAACAATTCTTTAAATTATTTTAGCATGCCCAAATAAGAATGGCAAAATGACCCGACCCGAGGTCGTCTCACCCTAATCAAAGCGAGGATTCTCTGCATTGATTGGGGAACGGGGCTCCTCGTAATTTTTTTGGACGGGGATGGGGGCAGAGATGGGATTTTCTCACCCCGTCCTGTTTTGCCACGTCAATAGTGATTTATAGACTGTTAGAATATGTTTTTTCATTGTTCTCTTTGAGTTTAAGTGATTTGATCTCTTGCTTGAAAAATAAAATTATATAAATTGTGTGTGCTTATTATAAAATCTGTCATAACGAGATAAAATAAGATGAAACGGGACGAATACAAACAGTAAAATAAAACCTCGTTTGTCTCGTGGGGATCCCAATTCTCGTTTTAAACAGAAATGAGATGATAAATTCTTTCTCGTTTGAAGCACGAGATGGGAATGGAAAATTTTTTAAGGGGCGGGGCCACCCCATTGCCATCCCTATGCCCAAGTTGGGATCTAGTCGACATCATGCTTTAAAAGTTTCAAACCTATCAAAAAAAAAAAAAACAAATGTGTAGCTGGCTAGTACTGTAGTTTGCAGCCTTTTTTTTGTGGAAAAAGGGCGAAATTTTGGACTCCAGAGTCCAACCTTAATAGTGACAACCGGCTATTTCAAAAGGCCTGCAGTTTCTAACCATCGATTCTTCCCTCTATTAATTTTTTTTGACAAATTACTATTTATGGATCACCATTCATGGACCACTGGATTTGGCTTTGCTCACATTCGTTAATTAATAATAGCACTTAATGTTTAGTTTTCTTTAGGGATGAGTTTGAAAATTTTATGAGTATGGGGTCATATGCTAATATGCTATGTATCCGTCCAAATGTATTAATTATCATATTTGACTATAAAAAAAAAACTCAAAACTTAATTTGCTTATGTGTTCTGATTCAAGCTTTTTATTTCTTGAAAACAAAGAATATTCAAAATTATTAATAAATTATTGATTTAGTGATAAACGAATTAGTTATCGGACGAATTTTTTATTAAAATGTAAAATTCGAATTCTAAAAACGTATTTGTTAAAAAAAATTAAATCTTATTTTTTCTGCTTCAAATAAAATTAATTATATTTTCAATATAGAAAGAAGAATATTTAAAATTGTGTCTAGTCATTTTTTTGGGATATAATTGTCCTTATACAATACATCTTATAATATCTTAAAATGATTCTCAGCAAACGTTGATTATCAACGTTATCGTTAT